GGCTCAGTAATTGCTTGGGCCGGCGGCAACTTTCGGTACCAACGACGACCGCATCACGAATTTCCGTGCACTTGACGCATGCGCAGATAATCAATCGTCCGTCATCTTCGTACGAAGGTCATTCTAGAGGGTCGAATTAGAAAAGACACCAAGCCTCTCCCACTCTCCCTTTCAATCTATCTATTTACCTCTCTATCTCTCTCTCACTCTCCATATATATATATATATATATATATATATTTATATATATATATGTGTGTGTGTGTGTGTGTACACGCACATACACACACACACACATATATATATATGTATATATATATATATATAAAATGAACGTTGAAGTCAACACTTAGAGGCGACAGTCTGTTTCATGCTAGACGCAATCATCAGGCCACCTAATATTAAGCAATTTATCCCATAAATATAACACACCTTAAGATATATATATATATATATATATATATATATATATATATATATATATATATATATAGTATAACAGCAAAATTGCCCAAATCATGTAAGAGCATGGGATAACTGTCCATCCCACAAAATGTTTAATATCTTAAAAAAAACACTAAACTAATTGAATTTCTTTTTACAGCTTTTCATATAAGACGTTTAGCTATCTTAACACCATTTGTCTAAGAATCACTGAAAAACACGTTGAGTTATTCAGCTAGAAAAGGAACAGGTTAAAACCGTTTTGTGCTAGACCCAACTGAGTAATGGTGAGAGGAAAAAGATAACTCAGACCTACAATAATGGAACCAATATTCATACTCTGTCTTCCATCTACAAAGTCCATCAAGAGAGTGGTGAATAAGTTTGAAAAGAGCGAACAGTAAAGAGGAAAACTGGATCAGGAGATAACAACAGGAAGATGGATTTCTTTTCAACTTAGAGCTAAAGATATCAATTAGAAAAGATCCAACTCAATCCATAAGATGTTTAGCACGTAAGAGAGAGGTTTCACCTATGACCGTCCAAAGAGTAGTAAAAAAGAATTGAAAATGAAATCGTACGTGAAACGTGTGAAGCACCTTGTTACTCCAGAACAGAAAGTTAGAAAGTTAGAGAGGAGAAACCATCGTTAGCAAGTTGGAAAATGATCCTGGAATAATATATATATATATATATATATATATATATATATATATATATATATATATGAACTTAATTTCAATCCTTCATGAGCTTCCGGACCTTAGCTATGATTAATTAATGATGAACATGTCATTTTCATTTATGGTCAATTTCATCACGATTCTTCTGTTAAGCTTGGAGAGCAATTATATATTTGTATTGCTCAAATTAGAGACCAATAGTGTTATAAAAACCTCGGAGAATTCCAGTAAGATATATTTAATCATTTCTAAGATACAACAGCTCAAATCTTAATCTAACAAATGGACCATTTTGCTTTTACACGATTTCGACAATTTTGCCGTTACACACAGGACACACACACACACACACACACACACACAGATAGATAGATAGATAGATAGATAGATAGATAGATAGATAGATAGATAGATAGATAGTATTTCTTTCGTGTAATTTCAGTTTTAACGCAAATATAAAGGTTGCGATTCTATGCTTGTTAGAAAGTAATATGGACTGAAAATAAAGAATGCGATACAACTAACTTTGAAAAGAATCGTACCAAACAACTGAAAGAATTAAGAACCAACATTAAATCTTGTGCCAATATATGAACCCATATGACAGTCAACCCATCAGCATGTCCCACATGTGGTATTGTCTGCAAACCCCGTGCAAGATGTTTCTCATACGAAACATAAACCTTAAAACTGAACTGAAAGACAATCATGCGTCGAAAATGACGGGAGAGTGTATCATCTTATGTAAAATAGCTAGTTTAGTTAATAAAACAAGGACAGACGAAAGGGTACCAATATAATCTGTATTATAAACATTTATTAAATATTAATTATTAACAATATAACAAAAATGAAGCACTTAGAGAAAGGTTTTAAGCACGGAATTTTCGGACACGCCTGCGTCCTTCATCAACGGACCGAGAAATAAAAAGAGAAATGGGTATTACTCAACGACAGATGATTTTTGTAGATTTTTTTTTCAATGGAAATCGTATTGTTGGCAAAAACATGATCTCTGATGTCTGATCCCTCGATGTGTGAAACTTTTTCGGAAAATAAACTTAGATTTAAAATTTTGATCGGGGTAAACGCGTTCGGCATATCTATTATTACTAGTGTGTGTTGTGTGGGGAGACAGATTGTGTAGATCATTATAGGCTGGGGAGTGGGAAAGACGTTTCGCATGTAGCAAGCTGTAGCCAAAATTGTCGGATCAAGTTGTAAAATTTAGAAAGATGATCAGTAGTTAGAATATAAAAAGGAAGAAAAAGAGGAGGAAAAATGGAAATATTTTATCATAAAGAAACAATTTATACAAAGAATTAAATAGCAATGTTAATATGATTAATGGGGAAATCACTTCGCTAACTGGACTTAATGAGACATTAACTTATTATCGATTCCTTGCATAATAAGATCCTTATATATGAGCTGCTGTCAAAACTGATGGAAAACAAGTACTTTCGATAATTTCAAATTGTCGTCGTCAGGGCGTAATTTTCTTATAGGCAAATACTTAGACGAAATATGTGTAGACCGACAGAAGTTTTTTTTTTAATTATGCTATTTATTGACAGATGAATATATGCTTTGGAGCGTGTGATGTCACAACGCTAGAATTCTTGTTCAAATCGAGATCAAGCGAGAATTTGGTTTGGATTTTGAAAACTTATAAATCCACGAAATTTTCTTGTTATATGTATTTATCTGTTAATATTTTATGACATAAAATATAATCTGCATACTCTAATATATATATATATTAAAGACATTTTTTTTATGTTTAACATTCTTTTTATAGATACAAGTATTTAAGTAAATGCTCTGTTTATAATAAACAGTATTAAATAACATTTACCGGCCTGAATGTCCGAGAAATTTTCGTCGCTTGACAGGATTCGAACCTGTGTCCTATACGGAACCGTCATTTATCTTGACGTGCCTAACCTCTCGGCCACAAAGTTGGCAAAGTCGAATTTACTGCTTATAAACTTCAATCTTCTATGAATCTCGTACATTCATAACTGCTCATGGCGTATCAAATGTAAACAAATGACGTCATACATTAAGAAATGGACAAAGTCCAGCAATTTATTAAAGTCCATTTCTTAATATATATATATATATATATATATATATATATATATATATGCATGTATGTATGTATGCATGCAGGGCCTGCAACCCTTAGAAATCCTAAGCACTTAAAAGATTTTGGTGCACTCTTTATAATAATAAATCATGAAATAAAATTTTATTCCCAGAAAGTAAACAAAACTGTTTGTAAAATGGAAAATAATGTTTATTTTTCTATACTTCCACTTTATGTATATTTGAAAAGTTTTCTCCTACATTTTCAATTGCAAACTCTTTGATGAGATCCTCAAAATGAATCTTATGTAACACATCTTCTTCTATACTGAATAGAGATAAAAACATCCAGCCTGCTTTGTCAGTTGTTCTGGCGAGGTTTTAATATACTTCTACTGAGAAAATGAACGCACACCTGAGCCATATGTAACCAATTAATGTTAAATATATACGAAAGCCAATGTTTACATTGGGAAAGGAATACTCAGTAATGCCTTCTACAATTATTTTATAAAGTTTACCATGACTAAAACTTCTTTTTACATTTTTTTATTTGGTTTGGTTTTATTTATTTTACGGTATATCAACCTCAATGGGTTATTTAATGCCGACAAGATTTTTATTGCTGGTAATATTTTTTTACAAAAAGTATTGCAAGTAATATTATTTGTCTTCAAAAATGTATTGCTGGTAATAAAACCAATTTTTACAATTTCATAGCGTTTTGAACCTGGTTTTGGGTTTAACTATTTTTCCCATAGTTGGGACTCTAACAGGTGCTACCACCCCTGATCAGGGTGGACCTGGAACACCAGCAATTAACAGGTGGTTCCACGCTCCTCAAAACCTTTTGATTAGAGACCTTACTGTTGGACGCGGTTTAACGTCTTACTATATGACTAAAACTACAGAAATCATTTCATCTAATAATAATAATAATAACAATGGACTCTCCCGTCGGTTTCGACGTATGAGGATCTGACAGCTAATTGATTCAGTTAGGAAAGTTTGTGCGATAATCTTAAGTGGCATTTAAGACCCGCTAGTGATTTACAAAGGAGGCCACATATGGAGCAAGTGTGAGGATTGTGAGATGAGATCACTGTTAGATTGGCTGACCTTTTAGATCTTGCTCTCGCTTCTTGAAGATGATTCAGACAAGCAGATTGAAATTTGCTGAGTCCATTAAAACACGTTGATCTCCATTCTACCCGCTCCAAGGCTAAGCGCTCAAGGGTGTTATGTGGTATATTAACTGCTGACAAGTTGCTTTTCAGCTTGTCTTTGTATCTTAGCCATGGGCATCCTACATTCCTGTAGCCCTGATCTAACTGGCTGTACATTAGGATCTTGGGTATCCTGTCATCAGACATTCTCAAGACATGACCAGTCCACCGTAACTGAGACTGTATGATAAAAGTCTCGATTCCTCCAATATTACACCTGTTAAACAGGTCTACGTTAGATGTCCTATCTTGAGCTTAACTCCACAGATTGCATATATATATATATATATATATATATATATATATATATATATATATATATATATACATTTCATCTTGCATTGTGATCAACATCTGGTAGCATTTCTTTTGTAATTGCTTTATATCTTTCAAATTCATTTAGTGAAGTTCACAGTTGGTCAGCCAATGATCCATACAGATCTGCATCTTGATTCTGCTTGTGACACGTTAGTGATTCTACCTTCATCATATTTTGATTCTGAAGTTATCAAACTGATATTTACTGTATAATTTGCCATATTTGTGCCCATTTCTGATGACGGAGGTTAGTTTTGACCCCGAATCGGTATATCATGTTGTGGAGCTTGTGTAAAGAGATTTGCAGTTTTGGACTCTAAATCCAAATTCTTGTTTCTTTGTTGATAGTTTTCGTTTTTGTGTACCACTTAACTGAGTTCTAAGTTTTGTTAGTTACGAAAATAGTTTCCCATTCATAGCTCGTATTTTTAGATGTGTGTGATAAGTATCAATCATTGTTACCCTTTTGGCCTGTCGCAGTTCAAATTCACGTCCATCTGATGTTTTTCATTATTCAAAACACCAACAAACAATTCAGGTGGCTATCTACATGAAAATTCAAATGTTTTATTTTTCCCACGGATTTTATTCATTAACCCGTCTATTTTCTCTGGGGCATGTCAGTATATCGTTCCTTCTATTGAAAGAAAAATTTGTCACACTTCGGGTCTGTAAAATAGAGAAAAAAAATTATTTTTTGAAATAGTTTGAATTATTAAGCAGAAATCAACACAGTTACATATATCATGAATAGAACCATACGGACAATTTAATTTCCCGCTTACAGCTTAATCTTGAGGTTTAATTAATACAGACAGATTTTATCTCAGAATTTGTAAACTGAAAAGTGGTGTTTCTGGGGGTGCGTTATAAATTAGTAGCGACAGCAGGACTCGAACCCGCGTAGGAAGAAAAGATCTCACCACCGAGAAAGCAGTGGGGTGGATCATTGTTCTTGACCAACGCAGATGCGTTGCGCACACACATCAGTCATAGCCCGAGCAGCGGCGAGGAAACATGGCGGTGTCGAAACTGCTCGTTCTAGCTTGCCTGCTTTATTACTTTAATGTGGGCTTGACTGCAATCGCATCAAGTTGCCGAATATATCTAGCCTTTGTCGATAATATAGTGAAGGAACGTACCGCCATGCATTGATTCCATAATTTCAGGTCAGAAGGTCAGTCTCTTTCTGGTGAACATCGCAGTAGCCGACCCCAGGTCCTGGAAGATGAGGCCCTGACGGCGGCCGTAGAAGAGGAAAATAGCCAAACCTGTGGTGAGCTTGCAGATTGCTTTCAGATTTCTGATGAAACCGTCAGACTTCACCTGCCCCTCATAGGGAAGTTTAGCCAACAAGCACCAGTGTGTGACAGCCTGTTCCTCGTTCTTTTCTTGGCACCGCAGAGTACCGATATTTGATAGCCCATCTGTGACGAAATGTGTGTCTTGTATGACATTCCAAAGCGTACCAGACATTGTCACCACGGAACCTTGCGCCTCACAACACAAGGCCACGTCTACGCCCACGCAAGATCATGCTCTGTATCTGGTGGACTAGTCGGCAAATGATGCACTATGAGCTGAGCGAACCATCAATGTGGACTTGTACTCGCAGTAGTTGGAACGCGTGGAACAGTCACTGAAGCAGGAGCCAGCTTGTGTTAATCGCAAGGGTCTACTGTCCCCCCATGACAATACCAGCCCTCATATGGCGGGGAGGGGGCAAGGGATACCCTACGGCGACTTGGCTGGGAGACATCGTGCAATCTCCCTTATTCCCTTGACCTTGTAGCAACAGATTACCTGTTCCATTCCCTGGACAACCATCTTTGTGGGAAATCTTTTGTAAATGAAGTAGACTTGTGGCAGGCTTCTCACAGACTTCTTCACGTCAAAGATAGATGATTTTTAGCGCCAGGAGGCACGTTGGTCAATGGATCTGAATGTCGATAGTGATTACTTTTTTTGGTTTCCATGTAAATATCTTCCACCAAATTGTAGTGTCAGTTTTATTACTATTTGTATTAATATTTTTATTTTATAAGTATTTTAGTACTAATATTTTATAATTTCATTATTTGTTATTACTTTTTTATTTTATTATTTTATATTATTACTTTTTATTATTTTATTATTATTTATTTAATTACTGTAATTATTTTCTTTCTTATTTAATTATTATATTATTTATCCTCGTCGGCGAAACACGGAAAACAACAATCTACTGATGGGAGGATTCCGAAGATCCTTCTTCACGAGTAAATGGCCACCGGCAAGAGAGGAATGAGGATGACTTCATCTTTGCTTCAAGGACGACTGTAAAAGGACGACATACGGGCTATGGACATCGACATCGAGAGGTGGGAAAACATCACCAGCGATCGTTCACGCTAGAGAAGCGATTTACACCGAGGGCTGGAACGAGGAGAGAAAAAAACGGGCTCGACGGAAAGAACACAACACTGAGACATCGAGGGGGAGCGTCTTCACGTGCATTCGTTGCAATCGAGACTGACACCCTTGTGTGGGCCTGTACAGCCATAAAAGAAGCATCACTATTATCAGCATCCGTGGCATAACATTTTAGGAGCAAATCTATGGTGTCACGAGACCGAAGAATGCAATATATATATTATTTATATATTATTTATTAAATTTTTTTTTTCATTTATTATCATATCATTTACATTTATTTTATGACTGTTTTTATTCTCCTCATTACAATTTTCCATTCCCTTTATTATTTTATTGCGATATTATTTATATTATATTATTATGATTTTATCTCAACAGTTGAACCAACGGATGAAGAGGGCTACGCATCATGGACATGCTACAGAAGGCGTCATTCAAAATTATAGCAGAGTCGATGGCAGTCTGTTACAGTTTCATAACTGGATTCTGTATGTCACATTTCATACGTGTTTATGTTATTATTAAGTGAAAAGTTAAAAGTATGTTTTGATTTTTTTTAATTTTATTTTTTAATCCTTTCTAGCACGTTCGAAATTTTGGTTAAAAATCTTTTCTTGCGTCAGCGGTTGGGCCAAATATTAGTAAGGGGATTTTTAGTTGTTTTTTTTTTTTGTTTTTTTGTTTTTTACATTAAAAAACACATTGTTTTAGAAATTCTTGCAAAAATCAAATAATGTCTGATTTTAATTAAATTTTCAGGTCTTATTTTACAAATGAATGAAATTATTTTTGCAGTATTTTCTTTTAGAAATTGTTTTTTTAAAATATTTACTTTTACAAATTATTTTTGAAATATTTCCTTTTAGAAAATCTTAGTAAAAATATTTTTTACATCTGTTACTCATACTTACTTACTTTTATGAAATTTAAAGAAATTAAAATTCCAGCATCTTTGTATTTATATTAGTTAAAAGCAGGAGTCCTTGGAGAATTTAAATCATAAATTTGTTTTTGTCAAAATAAAAAAAAACTATTTACCGAAAATCTGCTTTGAAACGTAAAATAAAAAATGCAATATGACATTATTTAATTAGAAAAAAAGGTTTTAATTGCTTTTATAAATAAGATATATTAAGGACAGTATAGACTTAAGAAAAATATTTTTTGATGATAATGAATTTTTATAAGAATTGTTTTCCATTTTTTAAATTTTAATCAGAAAAATTTATTAAAATTAAAGTTTTAAAATTCTTTATAAATTTGAGTCTTTTAATTAATATTATTATTAAATGAAATATTTTTTACTAATCATAAATGGAAAAGTTTAATACAAATCATCAAACACCAATATTTTAAAAGAATTTTGAATTTTTTTATTAGTTTATAAACGTACCGTGTTTTTTTTGGAAGTACGGACGACCATACACGACATTATCAGAAAAGAAGCGTGATGTCTACAGTAAATTTAAATCCAAAATTTCCAAAATTCGATAAAACATTAGATCAGGGTGAATATTTTCCAAAATTTTAATATTACTGACTACTTAAAAATTAAATAAAACATGTGGCTCACGTCAATTTCCTCAATTATGTTTTACATTTAGAGTCTCCGTAGAACAGCATTAGATCTGTTATCACGTTGTGAAACACGTCAACATTGCTCCTGTCGGTTAAGAACACAGTTACTGTTGGGTTAAAAATGCATTTCTGAGATATTTTAAACTTAAAGTCAATAATATTTGTTTCAAAATAGATTAATTATACTTTAAATCAGCTAATATACCGCAAATAAAATTTCAGAGAAGTATATTTTATTTTTAGGAGATTTTTTTTTAAATAAACATAATTACATTGCGATGGAAGATTAAAAAGGACGCTAATCAGGTATTTTAGAGAAAAAATCCTTTTAGTTAATTTAAATTAGTTTTTTAAATACAGCAAAGTATTTTGTTTTTTTGAAATATTAAATTTAATATATTAGGTTGAAATCAAAACTAAAATAAAAGCTTTAAGAAAAATTTTTCATTTTAAAATTTCATTTTAAATCTTAGGTATCTCTTTTTCTGTTTTTTTTTTGGAGGTACCTAATTTGCTATTATTGGAGGTACCTAATTTGCTAATATTACTAATTGGTATTATTACTTACATTTTTTTTTCTCTTCCCTTTTAATTTTTAGATTTTTTTTCTTCGACTTCTTTGCTATTTTTCATATTCCTCGCCGCAGCCTCGACTTTTATTCTTTCTGGTTTCTCGTTTTTCCTCTTTATTTTTCCCTGCTTTTCTTCTTTTGAAGTTTTTCTCTCTACTCTTTCTTTTCTATATTTCACCTTTTCTTTTTTTCCCCCAATTTTTATTTTTCCTTCCTTTCTCATTTCCTACCGTAGTTTTCTGTTCTTCTTCTTCACCTCTTCTTTTTCTATTTCTTTCTTTTCATTTTATCACACAATTTGACCCCTTTTTCTATTTACTTTCCTTTCTCCTCTTCTTCAATTTTTCTTTTTCTGTATTGTTTTTCTTTTTCTTCCTATTCATAACTCTCTCAATTTTTCCTCCTTTCTTCTTTACCACAAGTCATCTTTTTCGTCAACCATTTTCAGTTCTCCGTTTTCCATTCCTCTTTTTTCTTGATTGTTCTCCTCTTTTTATTATTCTCTTTGGTTTCTCCTCTTCCTTCTACGTTTTTTAAAGAATTTCATTATTACCCACTACGTTTTTTTCTCTTCTTTTCTCCCTCTTCACAATTCCCTATTCTTTCTCTACCATATTTCCTTCCATCTTCTTTACCGCCAGTCTCCTTCTTCGTCAATCAATGTCGTCCCTTCTTTCGATTCTTCAGAGCAATTTCCACTGCCTAATTTCTATTCATGCACTGACCCTACCGGCGCCATCGGCTTCGAAGTGTCGCAACCTAAAATCTCCAATCTTCGGAGATAAAACAGCCTTGCTCTCCACACGGATCTACTGCACCAGAATATCAAGGGGACATGAATAGGCTCGGTTAGCGCTAAGAGATAGCTTTCTGCCTTGTCTCTCTTTATGCTCGAAAGAATCTCGCAAGGGTCGATTTCGTATCGGAACCCGCCCACTGACTCCGGACACCTACTCCATTACGAAGATTAAGTGAGCGGTAAACAGGCCTGAGAATCGAATCGATCGAACGTGCCACAAACGGGTATTCTGATCTTTTTCGGTTATTCATTCGGCCGATCCTTGATGTGAACCGTTCGGATTTGAATCAGCCGGTTTTCGAAAGGTGTCTGATAGCGCTCGGCTGGACCAACGCGCCTGTGTGGTTCACGCGCACATATTGTATCAGAAGAGCGGACAGACCGCGTCAATCTCGGCTTGCGATTCGCTTTGTTTTTCTGTTCGTGATGACAACTGCAAATTTATTATTGGCTTCGGTCATCTCTGATTGGGGGACAGTCTTGGATTTTGCTGCCTTTTATTAAGTAAACTTACAGTGGAGTGGAGTGGAGTATAGATAGATAGATAGATAGATAGATAGATAGATAGATAATGAACAAAGAGTGATAGTTATGAATGGACTGAGATAGATAGATATATAGATAGATAGATAGATAGATAGATAGATAGATAGATAGATAGATAGAAAGAGGGATAGATATGAATGGACTGAGATAGATAGATAGATAGATAGATAGATAGATAGATAGATGCAAGGATTCTAAACATTTATTGAACCCATCCAATTACTAAAATCAATATTTATATAAACAAACATCAGAATACCGATTTTAACACGGAGTCCAAATGAAAACTTGCGTACCTACATGCCCACATACAAATTTCCCTGTAAAATTCCGGAGATTTGTAAATTACTCTATAAACATACAGAGTTTTATCAAAAGCCGTACTTGAACAAAAGTTTATTAAATACATCCGAATGATCTCATGTAAAGATCAAACAATAAAATCACTAACATTATCAGTTTACGTGATTTTTTCACTAATTAATTTGAACAGGTTGAGTATGTTGGATGTTTTACACATTGCAGAAAATTATTCCGTACTTCATCATTTTTCATCATAAAACGTTGCAAACCATTTTTGACACGTTCGATTATTGACATAACCTTCTCCATACGATTTTCTGTTTTTCACTGGAGCCGCATTTCTATCTTTCTTACAAACCATTAACACATTACCGATATAGAAAAAGAAAGTCAAACTAGACAACACCCAAGACAGCTAGATGACAGGAAGTTATAAAGACGAAACGAGGGATAGAGTAATTCAAGTCTTTGTGAGAGAAAAGCTTCATACGTCAGTTATTGGGACCAAACTTATGGCTGTTAAAAAATTCACGGATTATTTTTGAGTGAAAAATAAATTTATGTATGAAAGATTTACTATCGTATTCGGATCAGACGTTGTTAACATAATGCTATACAAATGTGCTTCAGCGTGTATATGCACACACGGATTAGCTAGCCACAACACAGTAATAGTTATCATAATACAATGAAATTTGATTTTTTAAAAACCTAGACGAATCTAATTTCATTTAACGCAAGAACAGAAATTCAAACGGAAAGAACAGAACAAAATCGTTTTTCAGCCTATGAGGAATAATTGTTTTCAAAAAAGAAATCCGTATTGAATCATTTCAATAATTTAAGGATATTTTATAAAGAAAAATGAAAATTCGATGAAGAAATGACATGAAGAGACAAAGACGTCGTTCTACTGGAGAATGTACTTAGAAACAAAGAAGTATGTACTTAACTGTTATTATTAATCGAATCTCCGATATGGCAATGAATGCTGGACAATCTCATGACGGATGAAGAAGAGACATGAAGAGACAAAGATGTGGTTCTACTGAAGAATATCCTTAGAAACAAAAGGAATGAGGGCTGAACTGTTATGTAATTTCTAATCTCTTACATGGCAATGAATGCTGGACAATCTCCTGACAGATGAAGAAGAGACATGAAGTGACAAAGATGTGGTTCTAATGAAGAATGTCCTTAGAAACAAAAGGAAAGAGGGCTGAACTGTTATGTAATATCTAATCTCTTATATGGCAAAGAATGCTGAACAATCTCCTGACGGATGAAGAAGAGACATGAAGTGACAAAGATGTGGTTCTAATGAAGAATGTCCTTAGAAAAAAAAGGAAAGAGGGCTGAAATGTTATGTAATATCTAATCTCTTACATGGCAATGAATGCTGAACAATCTCCTGACGGATGAAGAAGAGACATGAAGAGACAAAGATGTGGTTCTAATGAAGAATGTCCTTAGAAAAAAAAGGAAAGAGGGCTGAACTGTTATGTAATATCTAATCTCCGATATGGCAATGAATGCTGAACAATCTCCTGACGGATGAAGAAGAGACATGAAGAGACAAAGATGTGGTTCTAAAGAAGAATGTCCTTAGAAACAAAAGGAAAGAGGGCTGTAATGTTATGTAATATCTAATCTCTTATATGGCAAAGAATGCTGGACAATGTCTTGACAGATGAAGAAGAGACATGAAGAGACAAAAATGTGGTTCTACTGAAGAATGTCCTTAGAAACAAAAGAAAAGAGGGCAGAACTGTTACGTAATATATAATCTCTTACATGGCAATGAATGCTGAACAATCTCCTGACGGATGAAGAAGAGACAGGAAGAGACAAAGATGTGGTTCTACTGAAGAATGTCCTTAGAAACAAAAGGAAAGAGGGCTGAACTGTTATGTAATATCTAATCTCTTACATGGCAATGAATGCTGGACAATCTCCTGACGGATGAAGAAGAGACATGAGGAGACAGAAATGTGGTTCTACTGAAGAATGTCCGTAGAAACAAAAGGAAAGAGGGCTGAAATGTTATGTAATATCTAATCTCTTATATGGCAATGAATGCTGGACAATCTCCTGACAGATGAAGAAGAGACATGAAGAGACAAAGATATGTTCTAATGAAGAATGTCCTTAGAAATAAAGGAAAGAAGGCTGAACTGTTATGTAATATCTAATCTCCGATATGGCAATGAATGCTGAACAATCTCCTGACGGATGAAGAAGAGACATGAAGAGACAAAGATCTGGTTGTACTGAAGAATGTCCTTAGAAACAAAAGGAAAGAGGGCAGAACTGTTACGTAATATATAATCTCTTACATGGCAATGAATGCTGAACAATCTCCTGACGGATGAAGAAGAGACATGAAGAGACAAAGATGTGGTTCTACTGAAGAATGTCCTTAAAAACAAAAGGAAAGAGGGCTGAAATATTATGTAATATCTAATCTCTTATATGGCAATGAATGCTGGACAATCTCCTGATGGATGAAGAAGAGACATGAAGTGACAAAGATGTGGTTCTACTGAATAATATCCTTAGAAACAAAGGAAAGAAGGCTGAACTGTTATGTAATATCTAATCTCTTATATGGCAATGAATGCTGAACAATCTCCTGACGGATGAAGAAGAGACATGAAGAGACAAAGATGTGTTCTAATGAAGAATGTCCTTAGAAATAAAGGAAAGAAGGCTGAACTGTTATGTAATACCTAATCTCCGATATGGCAATGAATGCTGAACAATCTCCTGACGGATTAAGAAGAGACATGAAGAGACAAAGATGTGGTTGTACTGAAGAATGTCCTTAGAAACAAAAGGAAAGAGGGCAGAACTGTTACGTAATATATAATCTCTTACATGGCAATGAATGCTGAACAATCTCCTGACGGATGAAGAAGAGACAGGAAGAGACAAAGATGTGGTTCTACTTAACGATGTCCTTAGAAACAAAAGAAAAGAGGGCTGAAATGTTATGTAATATCTAATCTCTTATATGGCAATGAATGCTGGACAATCTCCTGATGGATGAAGAAGAGACATGAAGTGACAGAGATGTTGTTCTACTGAAGAATGTCCTTAGAAACAAAAGGAAAGAGGGCTGAAATATTATGTAATATCTAATCTCTTATATGGCAATGAATGCTGGACAATCTCATGACTTATGAAGAAGAGACATGAAGAAACAAAGATGTGGTTCTACTGCAGAATGTCCTTAGAAACAAAGAAAATGGTCTGAACTGTTATGCAACATCTAATCCTCTTCTTAATGAATGCTGGATCATCACCCTACAGATTAAGAAGAGACCTGAATTCACAGAAATGTAATTTTTTTCAACAGATTACTGAAAATTCTATGGACATAACTTGTTACTAACATAGGCATTTCAAAGAAAACATGAACAACGAGAAACTTTTCCTTAGTGTCATTATGGGACATTGTAAATCTATGGAAAAAACGGAAAAGCTCCTGTGGGATCCTCACAATTCATAGTGGAGAAAAATGCTGGGTGAAACAGCGAGATCTCTTTTCAACTAATGTTCAAGAATAGGTGGGGGAGCAAGGAAAAAGAGCAATGGTCATGTCAAAGATTACGCAAAGCAACCACAAACGAAGTTGTGGAGATACATGATCGACAATCCTCTGAATATCATGCTGCTTTTAAAAAAGACTAATCTGATGATATCAGATGTGTTGTTGTATCTAACCAATCAGCTTTGAAAGGCACAAAACGTGCTGAACTGTTATGTAATATCTAATCTCTTACATGGCAATGAATGCTGAACAATCTCCTGACGGATGAAGAAGAGACATGAAGAGACAGAAATGTGGTTCTACTGAAGAATGTCCTTAGAAACAAAAGGAAAGAGGGCAGAACTGTTACGTAATATATAATCTCTTATATGGCAATGAATGCTGGACAATCTCCTGACGGATGAAGAAGAGACATGAAGTGACAAAGATGTAGTTCTACTGAAGAATATCCTTAGAAACAAAAGGAAAGAGGGCTGAAATGTTATGTAATATCTAATCTCTTATA